GGGGAACTTGGGCACGATCAACAGCATCAGAAAACCTCTGTGCTGACAAGGCCCTCGGGCTGGATGGCCCTCGGGGTGATGGGGCTCAGGGGAAATCACCTGGCATCAGCAGACCTGGCTTTCACCCCCTGCTGTGTGGCCTCAGGTAAACCATCAACCTCTCTGAGCTGCTTTCCTCACCTGTAAAATGAGGACAATCGTTCTCTCGCCTCTAGTGAGGCCTGAGTGAATTCACACTTGTGGGTCGGACCACCTCCTCAGCACCCACGGCTCCCCTGACCTCACCTCCTATTCCCTCCCCTCACTTGCTCCAGATTCAGGGCCTCCTTGTGGTTCCTCTAAAAGAGGGACCTCCAGCCGAGCTCCCAGCGGGGTGCCTCTGCACTTGCTCTTCCCTCCAGTACCTGTGTGCCTCCTCCCCTCCCACTCCCACCATCTCTGCCGGCCCCACGGAAAGCAGCTGCTCCCTCCGACCACCTGCCCCCTTCCTTCCGCTGCCTCAAGCCACGGCACCTGCCTCCAGCTAACCTAGCTGCTAGGTCCTCGCATGTCTTCCACTGGTTTATCTGTTTCTCGTCTACCTTCTTCACTGGACTGAACTGTCCTGAGTGGCCAAACCCCAGAATCAGGGCCCCTCCCTTGACTGACTGGGGGCTGCCCTGCCCGTGCCCCAGGCCGGCGGGTGGCAGCGGCCACAGGGGCACTTTCTGCCCGGCAGCTGCCCCTCACTGTCTGGCCAGGATCAAGGCAGTGTGTTTAGCCCTCCTAGGCCGGGAGCCTGGCTGCTCGGCGGGAGGGGAGCTTCAGGCCCGGAGACACCACGTCCTTGGGGACCTGCTCCTGAGGGCCCAGGGGGTCAGCAAGGCTGAGGGCCAGGCCCTTCCTCAGCTGGGGCCTCAGCAGCACCTGAAGTCCCGAGCCCTGGGCCCTGCTGGTGAGAGCAGCGAGAAGGGCCCACTCCCCTCTGTGTCTCCGTCCTGATCCCGGCTGGGCTGGCACCGAAGGTCTGAGTGTCCTGGGCTGGGGGGACGGAGGAGGAAGGACTGGGGTGTTGAGAGGCAGGGCAGTGGAGATAGAGCCCCGAGGGGTTGGGATGGGATGTCCGAGGGAGGCAGGCCCAGCCCTCCACACTGGACTCCTCCCCCGTGGGAGTCAGCCACCCCAGAAAGGCTTCTGGCTCTGGCATCCTGCACCCCCAGCTCGGTTCAGCCCCACGAGACGCTAACGCTGCTGCCCCTCGAGAAGCCCTGTGTTAGAGCCGTAGACCTTTTGGGTTAGGACGATGAACGCCCTCCACAGGCCGGTGTGGTCCTAGGAGAGGACCTGGCCAAGGCCAGGAAAGCGGAAGTGACACAGCAACCTCAGGTTCGCTCCCTCCAAGGTGAGGAGCAGGCTGTCCCCTGCCCTTCTCCCCTCCGTGCTGCTGGCGGGAAGCGGAAGCCACCACCTTGGACCATGAGAGGGAAGCTGAGTGTGGGGATGGTGGGGCACATGACAGGAGCCCCGCTGACGACTGCTGGGGGCAGAACGGGTCCTCTGCTGGCAGGCCTGCTGCTCTGGCTCCCAGCCGGCCAGCTCTGCCCCTCGCTGACGTCAGCTCAGGACAGAGGGCTGAGGGCTGGGGAGGTGGCTGAAGACATCCAGCCAGGGCACTGCCACCTTCCGCTAAGGGCTCACAGGTGAGCCGGGCCAGGGCCACCTGGGGCGAAGCCATTCTGGGGCTCCCGGGTCTGCCTGGGAGGCCGGGGGGAGAGGACAGGGGGCAGCAGGGACGGGCAGAGCCCACCCTGATGAAGCCTCTGCTTCCCACATTCTCCTCGACGGGCTGCTGACCGGCTCCTCCACTGGCCGCCAGGCTTCCCCGCCCCGGCCCTGGGCCCCCGGTCCAGCCTTGTTTTTGGTCTCTTTGGAGGGCTTGATGTGTGGAAGAGGCCGGTCCTCCCGGGCTCCAGGGCGCATCCTCCCCAGG